ATCTCCTCCAAAACCCGCCACCACAAGACTTCTTCCAACAACTCTTGGCGGGTCAACAATCCCTCTTAACCGGTTTCCAAACAATGAGCCTTAATTACACAAAGATGGGTGAGCAATTCACCCAACTTCAAGGAGAGATAGGCCACTACCGGAACGAGCAACAAGAAAGAGACCGGCGATTTGATGCATACCGGGAGGAGCAACGGGTGGCTTTTCAACGATTGGAGGAACAACGGGCGGCCGACATGCAAAGGTATGAAGAGGACTACCGGAGGATGTATGGGCCCACATATTCATACATGTCCCACCTTGGCGGATTTGCATCTATGGCCTCACCACCACCGGCACCTTCTTGGTATAACCCCTCCGATTGGGGTAATTTTGGCGGCTCGAGTTCCGGCGGTAGTGGATATGATGGCGGGGATACTATCATGGGCGAGGGAGGCGGTGATGACATGCACGGAAGCGGCTTTGGAGGAGGCTACTATGGTGGAGAAGGCGGACACTAAGGATAGTGCCATGATTCAAGTGTGGGGGAGGAAGATCATCTTTTGGTATGTACACTCCTTTGTTTTTACCTTGTACTAAGCATTATTTTTCTTGTATTAGTTGTACACAAAAAAAAAAGAAATAAAATGCTAGTTAGGTTGAAAACCCAAAAGGGCAATCTAAGCAACAAAGGCTTACAAAAAATAATGACTGAGTGGTAAGGAAAGGAAAAGAAAAGAGATGCTAGGATGAAAACCTGAAAAGGCTCCTAGGCAAAATGAGAGATATGAGAGAAAAATTTGTTTTATTTTGCAGGACACTATCTCTTGAAGTAGAAGAAGAAGAAGAAGGAGGAGGAGAAAATATGAGAAAAAGAAGAAATGGGAAGCATAGAAGACCGTTAAACCCAAGGAAATGTTGTTGTGTAACTTCATTCACTATACTTGGTGGTTTTAGTTTCTTATTTCTTCCTCTCTATGAACTCATGATCTTGTGATAAACACGATGTAAACAGTTGGTTTTACTCGAGGTCGAGTAAAGAAACTAAGTGTGGGGGAGTTGACATTCATATTATTTCCATGTTTATATTTGTGTTTTTGATTAGTTTTGAGTGATTGTTACTCTAGAAATTACACACTTTTGGTGTAATAGTTTAGTTTGTAAAATGTTTGTAAATCGTTTAGATTAGGTTTGTTCTGAGCTCAAACAGGTCCAAGACCACTCTAGGGACCATTGGTGAACATCACAAGTGGAAGGAAGGTGCAAAAATTCCAAAACAAAATGAAGATCCTGATTTTTGGTGTTGTACCCGGTCGAGTATACCCTATACTCGATCGGGTAAGTTGCTGAAAAATCAAATCGGATAAATCCGCGAACAAGGCAACATGCAGGGAAGATTTTAACCACGATCGAGTGTCTATACCCGATCGGGTATGCCCATGTTTTTCCAGCTTCCGCGAAACAACTGAAGGCCCGATCGAGTACCCAATATACCCGATCGGGTACATGACCCTGCAAGCCCAAAAAAAGCCTATAAATACACCCCATTTCCTCCACAATAAACAACCAATTCCTTTATACTTCTAAGCTCAGTTTAGACAAGTTCTTTCTTTATATTTTTATCATGTTTAGTCTCCAAATGAGGAGCTAAACTCTTCCATCTTGGTTTTGCTACTTTGAAGCTTAATGATTTGTAAGTTGTGAGTTATTTTCTTTAATCTTCTTCCTTGAATATTAATTACTTCGTATTCATATTCCACATTAATATATTGAGCATCACTTAAAGTATCAACTAGTCTTGTTCTATATATTAATTATTACTAGAACCAATCGGTTAATACACTTGTTATTAATTCGGTTCTTTCAATGGTAGTAAACTTGGATTGCTAATGCATGCTTCTCATGGTTAATAATCTAAGGGGAATTAATTATATTGATTAAACCAATAAACCGCTTGTGTTGAGGTTATCAATCTCAATCGTTTTCATCTTAAGTTTATTGCTACTATCAAGTTAATATACGGCGCTTGTTCTATATTAACTCGATAGTAAGTTTTGTTAATGAACGCTTCTCGTTATTAATAACTACCCTCGATGAACTGGATATACTCCTCGATTGAGTATTCGAGAGGAAGATAGTTAAAGACATAACCGGGATCGACGAACATTTCATTAAGTGGATAAAAGCAAAGCCAAGTCTTCTTCTCATTAATTAAACCACATAACTCGTTCATCTTCGTGTTCAATTTTAATTAAATCACTCAAACCTAAACCCCCCCTTTGTTACTAGTTTATAAAGAGAGAAGTATTCCTTTCCCTGTGGATACGAACCTTACTACACTATACTACGTATTAGTGTTGTATTGTATTTATTTTGAGTGCACACACGACAAAGTGTACGTCAGGGATAATAAGGCACCAGGGCCGAATGGCTATTCATCGGCTTTCTTTAAGAATAATTGGAATGTTGTGGGGGAGGATGGGGTTCGTGCGATCAAAGAGTTTTTTAACTCGGGAAAGTTGCTTAAACAGTTGAATCATACTGTTATAGCGCTCATTCCTAAAACTAATCACTCCCCAAAGGTCTCTGATTTTAGGTCGATTTCTTGTACGAATGTGCTTTATAAGATTATTGCGAAAATTATTGCGAATAGAATGCCCCCACCCTCTCGGGTTTGATCAACCAAACACAAGGTGCTTTTGTTGATGGCCGCCTTATGTTTGATAACATATTCCTTGCCTAGGAACTTGTTAGAGGATACACTAGGAAGCGCATTTCACCTCGTTGTATGATTATGGTGGATTTGCGCAAGGCCTACGATACCATCTCTTGGAACTTTCTAGCTAGTGTGTTAAGGGGTTTGGGCTACCCCGATCGTTTTGTCGGGTGGATTATGGAGTGCGTCTCCACCGCCTCGTTTTCTATTTCTTTGAATGGTGTTTTGCATGGTTTCTTTAAGGGTAGGAGAGGTATTAGGCAAGGGGATCCAATGTCCCCGTTACTCTTCGTTGTCTGCCTTGAGTACTTCTCTCGGCTCCTAACCATTAGAGCCAATACCGTGAATTTTAATTTCCATCCTCTTTGTGGTTCTTTGGGCATAACCCACTTGGCCTACGCGGATGATCTTATGCTCTTTTCTAGAGGTGATAAATACTCAATTGAGATATTGGTCGATACTCTAAAAGAGTTTGGGGACGTCTCGGGCCTCAGGGTTAACCATTCTAAATCTAGTATTTTTGTAGGTGGCGTGCATGACCTTGACTTACAAAATATTCTTGACCTTGTTGACTATGGTCGTGGTGATTTCCCGGTGAGATACCTTGGTGTCCCGCTTGCTCCTCTTAAAATCTCCGTGGCCCAGTATGCTCCCCTTTTGGAGACGGTTAGTGGTTTTCTTAAAACCTGGAATTCTAAGACCATCTCGTATGCGGGTAAGATCGAGCTTATTCGTTCTGTGATCCAAGGGGTCAAGTCGTTCTGGCTCCAAGTCTTCCCCGTGCCCCAAACCATTTTAGATAGAATTGTCTTGATATGCCGTATCTTTCTTTGGGGCGGTAAGTTCGCCAAAGTGGCCTGGGACGACATTTGTCTCCCTAAAGAGGAAGGGGGACTTGGCATTCACAATGCCAAGGTGTGGAATCATGCCCTCCTTGCTCGCACCCTTTGGGACGTCCACATGAATAAAGACACCCTTTGGGTGAGGTGGGTGAATGATGTCTATCTTAAGGGTAGAACCGTGTGGGACTTTGTCCCACACACCCGAGACTCACAACTTATGAAGAGGTTGAGTCTTATTCGAGATAGGATCCAGACTTGTTTTAATAACCGTAACGATATGATTTTAGGCCTCAATTCTCGTGCCACCCATGGGAAATTAGCCTCCGCTAAGATCTATGAGTTATTAAGAGTTAAGGGTGAAGCTAGGACTCCTATGAGTTTCATATGGAAATCCTACATTCCCCCGAAATTCTCTTTTAACGTGTGGCTGGCCTTGAGAAACCGACTTCCTACTCAGGATAGCCTCGGTTATCTTCATATTGTTAATAGGTGTGACTTGTGCAAGGGTGGTTTGGAGACCATTCCACACCTTTTTTTTCTTTGCCCTTTTTCTTGTAAGGTGTGGCAGCAGATTAGGATTTGGATGGGTTTTACGCATGAGATGACGACACTGTTAAGTGCTATTAAGTGGATTACTAAGACGCATAAAGGCTCAAAGTTGAAGGCCAAGGCTGCACGCATAGCTTTTTGTGCAACTGTGTACTACATTTGGCATGCGTGCAACGAGATTAGATTCGATGATGGCAAGAAAATAGAAGATGATATTATTGCAAAGATCAAGCACGTGACTTACAAGATTCTCTTCAACATCTATCCGCACGACTTGGTGACGTTCTGATGTGGGCACAAAGTTTCTTAGTGCCACGACACATAGATTTTTGTCTGGATTTGTGATTTGAGTGCGTGCTCCTTGCAACACCTTTCTTTTTTTTTTTTGTTTTTTGGGCCACGGTTTTTTTGTGCTTTTGGCTTTCTGTGTGGTTTGTTTGATTTCAAAAGCTTCTTCTAACCCTCTCCTATGCGTTTGTAACAGGAGAGGGTGGGGGGGCTTTAATTTTTGTACCCCTTTTGCTTGGATGATATATATATTTACGGTTCATCAAAAAAAAAAAACATCCAACTTTCCTTTTTTGTCCGTCCTAATAAAAACTTCCACTTTCCCTTTTTTTGCCAGAATTTGTGGTTCATAGCAATTCTTACACATTTTTCTCTCCTCTGCACAACTCTCCATCACACAATATTCACTATCTTAAATTGTGTGACAAACTTATTTTGGAAGTTTTATTAGGGAAGGAGGGAGTACCAAAACCAAAGACTGATAGTCTAATTGTACGGACAGGAAGTCAACGCCTGATTGGTAAGGTTGCAGGTGCTAGCAATGGGGGCGTGGTACGAAAAATAAAAAAGTACAGTAAAAATGAAGCATGTCTATAAATAATGGAATTTCGCGGTATAAATTGGGCGGCTATTGGCGCGCGAAACCAAAGGCATGGAACTCGCATTGCCTAGTGGCTTTCTGGCCTCTCGTCCTCGCCAATGTTTCCGTTATGCCAATCCTCTCAGTTCTATCCAATGCGCAATTTCGAATCCTCGACGCAAGGCTACTACGTAGACCGGATAAGATTGATCGGCGATGTCATGGCTACGATCGGCGGTGAGCAAAGCTGTGGAAGTCGGCGGAAACGGGAATATCACTCGCAACCTTCGCAGCTATGCGGGATCCGTTGTCCAGCATGCCGGTTACGCCGGCTTCAACGATGCAAAGAAAATTCACGACCGATCTGTAAATTTCTCCCGCTCTCTCGTGTCTCTCTGTGCGTTCTTGTTTCCCACACTGCACGATAATTCATGCTCGTCTGCTCGAACTTTTGAAATACCACACCTGTTTCAAAATGTTTTACAACTTTGAATGTTTTACGCACTGTTTTTTTCTGCCCCAGAAGTTTTTCGTATTTTCTGGTTTTTGTTGATATTTTCTGCAAATCTCAACCGTACACAAAGGGGATAGAAGCAAGGAGGACGGGAGGAGGAAGAATGATAATTTAATACACTTCAGAAAAGGTGTTTTCTTTAATACGTAGTTACAGACAGATGGTTCAGATGTTTGGATTTATACCAATAATAACATTTTATGAATTGATTGGTAGGGATTCAGAGGAGCTAGCTAGAAGTTCACTGAATTTTCTCATATTAAACATAATCTGGTCTCGGGTGGAGCTTTTCATTCGAAATTAATAGTCCAACTGTCCAAAATTTCCAGTAAAGAAATTTTGAATGACTGCCTTTTAAGTTAGTATCCAGCCTACGTGGATGTTAGTGTATGCCATATTGTTAAAAATCTCATCCTCTGTTAAAAAAAAAGAAAACTACAGTTTCTAGAGATCCTATGAATAGGCAAATAGCCCTAGACCCTAGTCATGTGGAATGCTCTAATCTGAACTAGTTTTTGTTGAGAATGTGTGATTAATAAATGAAGAACTTTTTGAATATCAAGTAGTATTATATTCTTGTCTTTCACTGTATGATGATAATGAGTCAAAGAGATTAGTAGTTATGATTAGTTCATGAATCATGATCGTGTATGTGACTTTAGTTTTGGACTGGATCTCAATCCAATGACCTCAAGAGATCACCTCTTAGTTCACATGGCTGACCTACTGATTTTAGATAAAGATTATGTTGTTGTAGCAATAGAAGTTGTAGTAGTAATTTCCTTAGTTTGTTTCTCCTATTTTGTGTTTTTAGCCTTTACTAAATGCTTTACAATTTTAGGGTCCTGGAAACATCAAGAGCTTTAAGCATGCTTTGAAAAGATTAGAAGAACAGTCAGTTTCTTGCAGAGGTATAGAGAGACTTCAGCAACTACGCAGGTGGTTAGTTGCTCTTAAAGAGATTGAGAGATTGCATGGAGCTAAAGCAGAAGCAGGGAAAAACATTGAATCCGTAGATATATCCATCTCAAAGAAGGATCTTCCTAAAGAACCTACTATGGTAAGTAAGTATCTTCTACTCACAATCTCACATGTATTACTTTAATTGCTATATAGATCAATTCTTTCTTACAGGAAAAGTGTTTTAAATATGTTTATATGCTGGTACTAGCCATGATATGTGATCGTGGTGCATGTGCTTTGTTGCTTTGAATTTTGTTGTTGGTCAAGAGATATGATGAAAAATGTTGTTCGTGTTCCAATTTGTAGGACTGTAGTCTTTATAACAACATTCCATTCTTAACTCTTCCCGTTAAATAGTGCCTTTTCTAAAAGCATGCATGAAAAGGTGAAGAGGAAGAAAAAAAAGCTCAAGTTACCAGGGGCAGCATAGCTCACCTGGTAGTAAGAGGGTGCCACAAAGGAGAGATCCCTTGTTCAACGCCAAGCAATGACTTGGGGATGGGGTGTCATCTTTGTTTTTTCTAAAAGCATACATGAAAAGGTGAAGAGGGAGAAAGAAAGCAATTTTCCCCATCTTCACAGTAAAAAGTTTGTCGAAGCCATCCCTTTTTGTTAGCTTGATTGTTTGACCTGCGATTTGTAATGCTTGTCAGAGCCCTAGTTGTACCTCTGAGAACAGTTAATGAACTACCATTTTATATTCTTGATTTAGCTAAGCTCTTATATTTACTTCTTAATTCTTAATATATAACAAACAGGTTTTATATCATGATCCTGATCTTGGTGGGGAACCAATGAATTTTAAAGACTTGTTTCTTCGCAGTCAAGCTCTTGAAGGCATCGTCTTGTCAGTGGTAGGCTGAACACATTTTAGAGCTCTTACAAGTATGATCATTTGATAATTTCTCTGCTAGTGGGCACCAGTAGCCCTTTTTCATCTTGAGATCTTTTTGGGAATGCAATAGGCCGAGCTACAATTTAGTGACACTTGAGGGTGGAATGAAGGTTTTATCTTTGTTTTGTTGGTTTATTCTATTGCAATTTCTTGAATGTTTTTGCACTACACGCAAGCTAAGTAAATCATTGGGAGCATGTGGGAGGATGATGGAAGAGACTATAACCCTAGTCCGGGGGCGGACCTATAGTATATTGAGGGTTAGCACATGCTACACCTCAAAAGTTGTTATTAGCCTAAGTGGTTGATGAATTGTGTAGAAGGGTCTTGGATGCTACATGTCCCTTGTTCGTATAAACAATACAAAAGATCAGATATCTAAATGATGGATTAATAGTAGTGAAAAAACGAAATTTAAAAACTCCAACATGTTTCGTATTCACTTCGTTATTCGATAGAGAGAGAAAATTTGCTAAAAAAGTATTTTTAGCAAATTTGCTAAAAATACTGATGTAGAGAAAAAAGACGACTCATGCCCAATTATTTAAAAATAGCTTAAAAGGTTGAAATTGGGTGGAGGACAAAGCAAGAGACTGGGGTGGGAGGCTGAATGCTCTGCTGGACTTGGAGGGATTCAAAATTAAATTCAAATATTTGATCTTAACTGGACTTACAATGTAAGAATTAAGGGTGCTAAAAAAGTTCAAGTGATGCACCAGTTTTTAATTCCTTTTATGTTCACATTTGATTTGATTCTCCTTTTTCTGTTTGATTTAACTGCTGGTTAAATGTCTCATTTCATTTAGATTCTTGAAGCACCAGATGATGAAGAGGTGTCATTGCTTACAGAGATCTTTGGGTAGTTCTTGTTCATCTCTTTTGTTTTAAATGCTCTCTTTTACTTAGTATAAATCAAGGGTCTCAGGAAGGAATCTGACATGTTGGCTATATTGTGTTTTTACTTCTTTGGTTTTTTCCTTGAGTGTACAGACTCTGTCTTACTGGCGGGAAAGAAGTCTGTGATGCAACAATAGCTAGCATAGAAGCTCTGGCTAAAGCTTTCTCAAGCTATAATGATGAATTATTGGTAGTGGAACAAGAAACCTTAGTGATGTCATTTTACTTAAGGCGTGTTTGGCTATTTTATGTAATATGGCGTTAAGCAGCACATGATAATTCTTAAAATACTCCTAAAATTGCTAAAGTCGAGAAGCTACAAATTGTAGCCTCTTGAGTTTTGTTTGATGTTTTTGCTATTTATGGATCAAAATAACCTCTAACAAACTTTTTTCTGCAATTTAAAAATCGTTTTATACAATATACATATTCAAAATATTATTTTCAAAGCACCTTCTAAATAAAATTTTATCAAACAGCAATCAAAGTACTCAATCAAAACACTGTTTTGAAACCAATGTTTTTAAACAAAAAAAAAACACTTTTTGAAAACACAACTTGTTCAAACAACAAAACACATTTTCAAATCCCTAACAGAAACACCCAATTTACTATCTCCATACTTTGTGGTTAATTGCTTTGTTCTGAAGATATCAGAAAGTTAAGAAATTTGCTCAGCTCTCTCCGTTATCTCAGGCAAAGAAGGAAGACCTGCTTCTATTTGCACAAAGTGCAATTGCTGGGCTGAAAGTAAATGCTGACATAGCAAGGTTGTTAGAGACATAATATTACTATTTTCTGGTTCATTTCTTTTATGGAATTTGTGATACCCAGGGAGTAACTGTGCCGTTTTAAACAGCTAATAACAGGGCTAGTTATCCATTTTCCTGCCTTTGGTACTAATGCAAAACTACAATCATAATTTTTTTATATTTACTGTTTCATGGTCTCTGCTCAGAATAGACTCTGAAGTCTCAAACATACAACAGGACCTGCAGAAAATGCAATGCTGGCCACCTTCAAAGGAAGTTGGAAAATCATGTGGGTCTTCTACAGAGATAACGGAGGCAAGTTATAGCAATTGCTATTATTATGCTTTATGCTTCTACCATCTGAATAAGAAGTACCATACATAGTGGCTTAGCATTGTGAATCCTTAGCTTAGTGGCTTGAACCTGGTTCTATAAATTCTCACAGAGCTGAGACTGAGAAAACGTAATTTATATTCTTCTTTGAGGATGATACTTTATATATATATATATATATATATATATATATATATATATATATATATTAATTCACCAGGGAAGTTTACAGATTGTCTAAACTTGACCTTACTATGCAGACTTTGAAAGAAGAACTTGCTCAGATACAACTATTTTCCAAATTGGAGTCACTTTTATTACAGGAGAAGATTTTGCTCAATAGAAGTGAATCAGGAAACCATTTTCAAAAGGTTTGGCATCTAAATAATGCATTACTTTTCTTCGGGAAAGAATGGTTCACGAATAATCTTTGTAGTTATGATCACGTTGTATTTGATCTGTTTCAATCTTTACTCCCTTGCATGTCCTATATAACTTAAGACCGATCCAAACAAATGTGGCACTTAGATGTGGTTCCATTATTAACAATAACAGAAATGCCATTTTGGGTAATTTCTTGTTTTTGGGGGACTAATGCAGTTATATTAGAACAATAATTTGGACAGCAAATGAGCATCCAAGTTAGAAAGTCAGAAGTGGTCTACCAACAATTGTTAGTTTGACAGAGAGTATTTGTTTGTCCAAGGCCCTTATGAATTTTCTGAGATCTAACACCCAGAAGAGAGCAAGTGCCCTTATGAATTTTCTGATCTATGTTTAATAGCAGAAAAGGTTAAAAAGTAATCATTCTTAAGTGGGAACTAATCTGAAGTCCGGCCTAGTCTAGTCACTTAGTCACTAGACACTCAAAAAGTAATTCTTTCAAAAGTACTTTATTAGATAAAATTATGGCCTTTAGGTAGCTAATACAAGATTCCAGTTACTTAAAGGAAACTAATGCTGAAATTAAGTAATTTAAGGCCTACTAAACTGAAATATGAAATAGCAACACATTCTAAAAGAAGTCTGTCAAAATCCGCCCTAAGGCCTCTGGTGCTGAGTTTAAATCCCATTTTAACTCCCAACTATTTGGTCTTAGACTGGTTTTCAGAATGAGTGATTGCCCTTCTACGACCCTTAAAAGAAAGGGAAGGAATACTCATTTGATCCTGGTCCCCGTGACTTGAAAAGGAAACTGAACTAGAAAGACAATGCCAACTTTATTTTCCGGATAGACTTAGGCTTGCTGCGCAAGCCTAAGCCACTTGGGATTCCATCCTGCATGCTTTTTCTATTGACTGCATCGGTTGGGCCACAAGGCATTTGTGTCGCTTTTTTATAAGCTGTCCTATAAAAGCATCCTCTTTATTTAAGTATAAAGAGGCAGTTTTGGAAATATTTCTAGACTACATTCTTTTACTATCTTACATTCTTCAAAGTCTCCACCAATACGTTTGGTTACACGTAGGTTGATAAGTTAAAGGTTTTGTCAGAGTCCCTTTCGTGCTCTGCTTCAAAAGCTGAAGAACGCATTTCTGAGAGCAGGTTTGTTTCTATGTTTATTTCCTCTCTCAGAACTAAACATTTCATGAATGATTCTAAATCAGTGGCCTGAAATAGAGAATATGCAAAAGCTAGTAGTGAAAATTGGAATATGCAGAGTATGAATGTACCATGCATGCAGCATACTAGGATTGTTCATGGAAATGATGACCAAACATTTCTGTTTCGTTAATGCTTTATGTCTATATAAATTTGGTTTTGATAAAGGTTGTGCTACTCTGTATTGCTCTTAACTATTATAATTTGATTCAAAATATTGTGCTCTTCCATTTGTGAATGAAGAAGAAGGCTGAAGGCCCATACAGGAGTGACATATATACTGAAATGATGCACTCCTGGAGTCCTGGGCTACAATCAGGTTTCTAGCCTTGCAAAATTAATACGTAGTTTGTACTTTGTAGGACCTCTTGGGCTTCATGGGAGTAAATTCCAGTCTGGTTAAAACCAAACACAACCCCATTTAGAGTTTTATGTAGCCAACACAAATGCTCAAATTACTGAATTCAGTGTGTGGTCATTTGCAATATAATTGATAATTGACCACACACTTCATGTTAATTGGGCTCAAATTATTTAACGTAATCTAAAAATGTTAGAACTCAGAGTTAGATTAAAATTGCATATAAAACTAGTATGCATTTATAAGATATTATACCTTCATTTGGATGTGTTGAAGTCTTGTATATGAATTATTACAAAAACATATATCTTTGTTTTTGTAATCGAACTGCTTGCTAAAAGTTAGTGTCATTCTCTCAACTTATATATGCATTTCTCTAACCAGACTTCAGAGAGAAGGAGCACTTAGCTTTCGTATTTCAAAAGCGAATGAATTCTCCCATCTTGAAAAGGTGGTGTTCATGGGGAATGTTATGGATCTTTCTACAATTGTTATTTTTTTTTTTTTTATAAAAGGAGACAGGTTTTAGGTCCTTAACCGCGATTGTTTTTTTTAGGAGCTGACAGTCAAAATTCATGAACTTGAGAAGCAAAAAGATGATCTTGAAGCTGAGTTGATGAAGGTACTTATGATTTCTCTCATTGCCCTTAGAAGTATGAACAAGTCACCTCAAGTTGAAGGAAACGGAAAAACTATTAATTCATAGTTCAACAATGCTATTGCTACAGTAGTTATTAGAAGTTAATGAAACATTGAAATAGTGACTTGAGAATTATTGCAAACTAGACTTGTTTTGCCTAATGAATGTGTGTAGGTAAATTCCACCTTGTCTTCTGCATATGCCCATCTACGCAATGCCAGGGAGGAAAGAGATCAGTTTAATGAAGCTAGCAATGAAATTATTCAACACATCCAAATGAAGGTATAATATCTTATAAATGCATTCTAGTTTTATATGCAATTTTAATCTAACTCTGAGTTCTAACATTTTTCAATTACGTTAAATAATTTAAGGAGGAGGAGTTTTCTAGATCTATTGCATCATACAGAGCTGAGGCAGACGTTTGTGATGCATTTATTTACTTCTTAGAAGACACACAGGGATTTGAATCATCATATATTAGACAAAAAGAGAAGCATGTCAAGTATGGAGCTATTATGCTTTAATGGTTTTTATCCTTATTTTCAGCATACAGCTTTGTCAGCATCTATTAGTAAATACATGGGTAGCTCTTTTAACCTGTGGAACACTATGTATCTGTACCATTACATACAGTGATAGTGTGATACAGATACTCATGGATCATGTAGGATAATGCAAAATCTATTGTCTGTTTTATGTTTTTAAGTGATGAACTGGAGAGATGTGAAGATTATTTTGGGGATTTGGTGATCCGCGTCTTATCTGCATACCAGGTATGTGGTTGTTTCTTTTGGAACTCTAGTGTTGTTTGATAGACTGTAATACCATGTAATTGAATGTATTAATTTACATTATGCACACACATGATTGCAATACATTGCATCTTATGAAACTACAGCTAAGTGTTTTTGCTTTCAATATCTCTATAATATCTATCTCAACATCATGGGTACTTGTGTGGTTTATGCCTACAATTTATCAGGATGAGCTAGGGCCTTCTATTTTGAATGTCAAGAAACTTGCAGAGGACTTGATAGGGTATTATTGCTCATTACTGCTTTTGAAAGAGTATGATAATTGAAGAGAATTAACCATGTTACTATGTTCGGACTACCAGGTCAGAGATCATGGATACTGCTTCAAACGGAGATAATAAGAGTGCAGTGGATGCAAGACGACGGCTAGAGGAGGAATATCTGAAAGCAGAAACCAAGGTATTAATGTTATGCGCTGCAGTCTAGCACCATTCAACTGCTCCTCTGTTATTCATTCTTTAATCCTTCGTTCTCCTTTCTTCCCCTCTCATGATCATTGTAGTTAATAACCACATTCAGTATTGTGGAAAGCATTAAAAAGCAGTTCTATGCGCAAACTGAAGGAATTTCAAGGTAATATGATGCTGCAGGCTTTATTATCACCCTACTTTCACCAGAAAGTGGTCAAATTAGAGTTTCATTCATTTTCCACGTTGGATCCACTTCTCATCTCTCATTGTAGTTAACTTTAGTCTAAAGTATTTAAGTTTAATCTAGGATGTTTGTTATGATGGAATACATTTACTTTTCATGGAAGGTAGATCATAAGAAACACATACTCTGTATTGAGTTTGTGTGGAACCTGAAAGCGATCAAAGTTAGGTTAAACTTCCTTTACATTCCACGAATGTGAATTACTAGGGGAAGGCGGGGAAGGGATTCCAATGGAAAGTGGATTAAATTCAACTCCGAACACATTTCGCCGGTCTAAAAATGTTTTTGGTTCGTGATAGAAATAAGTTCGTGATTTCTATCATTTTCAATGGAGCCGAAGACTCACTATTTTTTTGCCTTGGGAATATGATGGAATAAAGCCAAATGGCTCACTAAATTATGTGCTCTTCTTTGTGTTATGAAGCAGTAGGCAGCCCATGCAATTTTCGACGTGATTTTCATCATGGCCTCATGGGTCATCGGAAAACAGTCTCTCTGTGCTAGTATAGGGGTAAGACTGCGTACATCCGACCCCCCTTATCCTACCGTAGGTGGATAGTATTATTAACAAATTCACCCCCTCCATCACTTTGAAAAATTTTAATTTTCTGATTAAAAAGATTTTCAACCAAAGCTTTAAAATTTTTAAAGTGCATAAAAACTTCACTTTTGTAGCGCATGGGAAAAATCCACGTAAAACGGGAGCCTTTGTGACATTGGGATAATGTTGTTATTGTTGTATAGAAATAAGTTTGTGGGAATTGATGTACTTTCCACGGGGAAGTAATCAAATTAGACCATACTGAATCCTCTCCATGACTCCATTTCATTCCACCACCATTACTATGACCATAGGGGAACTTAATAAAAAATAATAATGATTTGTGTAACCACCACTTCATTTATGTTTCCTAAAAATATAGTAATGAAAGGGAAACTTAGAGAATATCTACAAACCTCAGTATGGCGGGCAGTACTCACTACTCAAAGGTCGAGAGAGAATAAAATTGAGCTTTACTTTATCTTAACTGGATTGGTGCTCAGCATCATCATCATCATTATCCAGTGCCGCAAAGGCTCCCGCCTATGTTGGGGTGGGGGGTCGGATGTACGCAGGTAAGACAGAGAGACTGTTTCCTGATGACCGTAACTGCATTGGTGTTAATCGAACAAAATTGGTAGTGCTAAACTGCTAATTATTCTTTTCCAAAACTAGTTAACCCTTATATTCAAGCAAAAAACAAGGTTACAAAGTTTTATGTTCGTTGGTCTCCCCGTTGCAACCTTCTATAGATTGAAGGATGAGATTAATTTCCAAAATTGTTAACATTATAGGTAGTTTCCATTTCAATGGAAAATACCATGAAACTATGTCACCATAATGAATATGAGTTGTTATACCTACATCCATTTGCAATATCATGCACATCATGTAAAGCCAGACTCTCCTGTCCAGGAAGGATTATGAAAATGTGAATCAACACTTTGAAAGTCTGGGAAAGATCAAAGAAGAATTTGAATCCATCAACAGACCATCTCTGGAAGTTGAAACTCCTAGAAGGAGATCCAAACCATCAAAGTTGATGTCAGAACCCAACACTCCCCCATCTTTCAATCAAAATGTAGAACCCGTCACCCCTGGATCACCTCTGCAAAATGAAAGAACACATAGATCCCTGATGAAGGGGAGTCTGAGAAAGAGTCTATCTATGGCTATACGTCAGACAAACGACGCAGTAAGCTTTGCCCGAGGAGAAGAGGGTTTCGTGTCCCAAAAAATCCTGAGAACAAAGTCAGTGGATCCAGCTGCGCAACTCTCAAAGCTGAAGATGGAGTTGGAACTTGAGAACAGTACCAGAGACCAATCTTTCGACGAAATTTATGACTGGGAATCCGATGTAAATGATAAAGAGAGGATACACGTTGGTGAATGAGTTCTTACAATTCTTTTTTTACCCGTGACCAAATTGTGTTACTCAAGGTTAGTATATGCTTTATCAATATCGCACTCTTGGAATTTGTTACTTAATATATTTTGAATTTGAATAATGCATTCAATATTTTGTAGTGAAGAGGAAGACTGTTTAACAGGTGAGGGACACTTGCTGACATGCCCCATACATGCATGCATGCATGCATGTATTCTCTGCTCTAATTCAGAATGCATCTAAAAAAAATACTCCTACCTAGTAGTATATTATTATATCCAATCTTGATGAGTAACAAGTGCAGAGCACGTAAGAAAACGTTATATATTTAGGAATTTCCATTCTTACATTTGAATTCTATGCGAAGTATATTAATGCTACGTATTTTTATACACTTCTAGTCCTCTTTGACAATGTTTGATTTGGTGGGAGTGATACTATTTTTATTAAATACGGAGTATATTTCTTAAATGGCTTGAATTTATGAATAATAGAATGACTGAATGCGTAGTACTGTGTGCGTAGACACATTGTTTAGGTAATAATGTGTTCTGTTCATTACATCAAGCGAAAAACAATGAAATAGAACCGGAGTTGTAACTTGTAAGTAGGAGTGTAACTGGTTGATTCTCTTGATCAGAACCAGAGCCTTAAAGAACCAATATTTGTCATAACTCATAAGATCCTGGTTTTGGTTCTATTTAATAGAGGAGGAACTGAACTGGAGTAATTTCCTTAAGTACAGAATGAGGCCTAACCGCAATCATAATCGAAATTTGGACGATTAGTCCTAAGAGTTGGATCTTAATATATATAGGTTTCAGTTAAAAATCTTAATCAGCGGGATTGGGTCATTCTGAAACCTGATCTGGACCATATCCATCCTGGTTATAAGGTATGGCCTAAAAGTGAGAGAATGATGCCAAAGACAGTGGGGGACAAGTAGAGGAGCAAAGAAACTAATATGGGGGTCAAAGTCAGAATGTGCTGCCCCCTTTGAATTTTGTCAGGTGAGATCATGTGAGCAAACTGATAGGCGATACATTTTATTAAAAAAAAAAACGTAAGTAGCTTAAAAATTATTCAAGCAGTTTCTCATCTCAATTTTACATTGTTTTTAAATCAGAAATATTGCATTTTCATTAGTGCTCACTACTCCGTATTTAATAGTCTTCATGTTATACCCTATGTACGTATAGTACGTTTGTACTACCTTGATGCATTTTCTGGTCAATAGTTTGTGGTATGCTTACTGCTTGTACTGTCACAAAAGGAACGTTTTGTTTCTGTTTTACCTTGTTTGGGAGAGTCAAATGAATGAAGTGTTAATAATGGAAGTGATAATAATTTTACCTTGAGGCAGAAGAAATGAGTAAGGAGAAGAGATGAAAAAGGCAGAGCATCAGACCTGCGGCAAAGAGATTCGGAGTGAGATGTCAAAACATTTTATGCTTTTAGGGTAAATGAGAAGGGTAATAATTGTTCAACACCTCAAAACATTCCAAATCGGGGTGTTAAAAAAGTGGACAATTGAGGTGTTGGAAATGTTATTATTAACACTTTCTAACCTTTACTAACACTTAACACCTCTTAGTTTTTCTCCCAAACAACTGTTAGTATTAACATTTACTAACACTTCCATTACTAACATTCCTCAACCAGGGCCGTCTCCAGGAATTTTAATGCCCCAGACAAAAAAGTGACTAATGAGATTGTTGAGGTTTATTCCTTCAACCCTTGGACCCAACATGTAAGCCCAAAGATTTCGAGTGGAGTGAGTGTATGAATATCTAACCCAACAACTATCGGATGGATCAGGAAAACAGAGGAAAATAGCAGGCAATGTAAATAGGTATTATTAACTTCGTAATAACTCCCCTAAGTACAATCTACTTGCTAAAAAGGCACGTCGGCCGTTCGTCTTACAAGGCAGTTAGAAATGCTACAAGTAAGAATGTTGAAGCTAGTATGCTAAGAATAGAAGGTTGCCAACCCTTTACAATGAAATAAATGCTTCCATTTATACCCACCAATGGGCAGGTGGCTATACTGACGTGGCAGCCTGTGGACCGCTGGTGCCCCAACTACCAAATCTCCAGCATTAAATGCACTTCCCGCCAGAATCTAGGTTTCCCGCCTAATCAGTGGGGACGTTCGTCCTCCCGGGAAGTGAGCTGGATCGCTCCAAGTGACCCTCGAGAGATACCGGCTGTTCGTCTCCTGGCCTTAATAGATACTCACCATGTGGACTGGGTTTCCTCCGATGGCTATAGGCTTGCCATGGGGACGTTCGTCGTCATCCCTGGTGGCCCGTGGCCCTGCTCCTTGTCCCTACATAGACGTTCGTCGGGACGAGCCGCTGGGCCTGAGCCCCCAACCCCAGACGTTCGTCCACCCTCAAGGAACATGGGCCTGTGGGCCGCCCTTGTGTCCTAACTGGACGTGCGTCTAGCAAGAAGGGGTTAGTGGGCCGAACCTCGGCTTGGGCCCTTAACCCAACACAAGTCCCCCACTTCTGATGTTCTGAGCATGCGCAAGACATAAGGAAGTATGAACTCCCTCGAAGTAGACGTTCGTGCCTTGATACTTGTGTTTATTGCATCCGGTGGAAGCGTACGCTCGTGGTCATGGTGCTTGACAACTGTCGACGGTTCAGGAAACGAGGTGACAGCTGCTGTAGCGGCGGTGCATCTTCTCGAGGAAGTGTCATCATTACGCTTCCATCCCACGCCCGGCGCGTGAACCGGACCACGCTCCTTGCTACGTGTCCACCCCTCGTTGGCCCCTAAAACGGTGCTCCCCCTATAAATGCCGGGTTTTCCCCCTGAATTAGGGTTCCCAATTTCTGCTCCCTTGCTTTAGAATCTCCACTGTTCTTCGAGTTCTCTGCGCGGTTTCTGAGTTCAGTTAGTCTCTTCGTAAGGTAATTTTCCCTCTGCTTCTTTTTCTGTCTTGATTTCTCGCTGAAATGACTTCGATGGAGATTTCGTCAAGTTCTGATTCCGGTTCGTCGGGTTCCTCTTCGGATTCCTCTTCTGACAATGTGACTGCGCGCTCCCCGGGAAAGGCCAGCGTTTCTGGGACTTCTGGTTCGGCCACGACGGTAGGGACCATCCGGGCTGATGGTGAGCCGGATGACGCTTCCCAAGGTAGTGGGAGCGATGCCGGGGATGGGAACGCTGACGGGGCAGTAGATGTCATTGACGCAGTCCCCTTGAATGAGCGCCCCGCCGATTACGATTCTGGGGAGGAGGCCGAATCAGGCTCTGACATGGAGGTGCATGATCTGGGCATCCCTACGGACATGGAGCGCCATATCTGTCCGATCAGAAGCGCCCTCGACCATGATCAAGTCCTCTCTCGCGTGGCCCTTAACAAAATCCGCACCTTTTTCCCCCCGCCGTTCGTCTGGAGCGTGAGAGGCGCCGAGAACGTGATGAGGAGACGTCCGGGGATGATCATGCTTCATTTGGACTCCGTCGAAGCCGGGCTGCGGTTTCCACTTCACGCATTTTATGTGGAATTCTTCCACTGCTTCCAAGTGGCCCCGGCGCAATTCATGCCAAATTCTTATAGGTTCATATCGGCCTTCTTGGTGCGATGCAAACTTGCGGGGGTCGATGCCACCTTGGATCTGTTCCACTATTTCTTCCGGATCACCCCTCAGAATTCCGACGGCTACCTGAGCGTGGCCGCACGTCCGGGGAGGAGGCTGTTTAAGAGCTACCCCTCCTCCATTCATGATTGGAAGAACCGGTTCTTCTTCCTTCGCTATGATGGTCCTCCCCTCCCCGTTCGTTGGAATGGCTCATTCAAGGGGACTGCGTCAATGACATCTACTGCCCCCGTCAGCGTTCCCATCCCCGGCATCGCTCCCACTACCTTGGGAAGCGTCATCCGGCTCACCATCAGCCCGGATGGTCCCTACCGTCGTGGCCGAACCAGAAGTCCCAGAAACGCTGGCCTTTCCCGGGGAGCGCGCAGTCACATTGTCAGAAGAGGAATCCGAAGAGGAACCCGACGAACCGGAATCAGAACTTGACGAAGTCTCCATCGAAGTCATTTCAGGGAGAAATCAAGACAGAAAAAGAAGCAGAGGGAAAATTACCTTACGAAGAGACTAACTGAACTCAGAAACCGCGCAGAGAACTCGAAGAACAGCGGAGATTCTAAAGCAAGGGAGCAGAAATTGGGAACCCTAATTCAGGGGGAAAACCCGGCATTTATAGGGGGAGCACCGTTTTAGGGGCCAACGAGGGGTGGACACGTAGCAAGGAGCGTGGTCCGGTTCACGCGCCGGGCGTGGGATGGAAGCGTAATGATGACACTTCCTCGGGAAGATGCACCGCCGCTACAGCAGCCGTCACCTCGTTTCCTGAACCGTCGACAGCTGTCAAGCACCATGACCACGAGCGTACGCTTCCACCGGATGCAATAAACACAAGTATCAAGGCACGAACGTCTACTTCGAGGGAGTTCATACTTCCTTATGTCTTGCGCATGCTCAGAACATCAGAAGTGGGGGACTTGTGTTGGGTTAAGGGCCCAAGCCGAGGTTCGGCCCACTAACCCCTTCTTGCCAGACGCACGTCCAGTTAGGACACAAGGGCGGCCCACAGGCCCATGTTCCTTGAGGGTGGACGAACGTCTGGGGTTGGGGGCTCAGGCCCAGCGGCTCGTCCCGACGAACGTCTATGTAGGGACAAGGAGCAGGGCCACGGGCCACCAGGGATGACGACGAACGTCCCCATGGCAAGCCTATAGCCATCGGAGGAAACCCAGTCCACATGGTGAGTATCTGTTAAGGCCAGGAGACGAACAGCCGGTATCTCTCGAGGGTCACTTGGAGCGATCCAGCTCACTTCCCGGGAGGACGAACGTCCCCACTGATTAGGCGGGAAACCTAGATTCTGGCGGGAAGTGCATTTAATGCTGGAGATTTGGTAGTTGGGGCACCAGCGGTCCACAGGCTGCCACGTCAGTATAGCCACCTGCCCATTGGTGGGTATAAATAGAAGCATTTATTTCATTGTAAAGGGTTGGCAACCTTCTATTCTTAGCATACTAGCTTCAGCATTCTTACTTGTAGCATTTCTAACTGCCTTGTAAGACGAACGGCCGACGTGCCTTTTTAGCAAGTAGATTGTACTTAGGGGAGTTATTACGAAGTTAATAATACCTATTTACATTGCCTGCTATTTTCCTCTGTTTTCCTGATCCATCCGATAGTTGTTGGGTTAGATATTCATACACTCACTCCACTCGAAATCTTTGGGCTTACGTGTTGGGTCCAAGGGTTGAAGGAATAAACCTCAACAGAGATCAAATAGAACTTCAAATTAAATATGAAGTAATTATAAAATTATAACACCATTTTTTTTTAATTAAAAGCCTCTTTGGTGATTTTGTTTTTCAGCTTATGAGGCT